GTTGGCTGCTGGTTCCCCCTGGCAGGGCTCTTTGTGGGAGCAGACCCCCCCCCCCCTTACTGGCAGTGCTTTACCTGCTGGGCAGCACAACCCATACCATAGGGATATATCTGCTACCAGGGGTAAGCTGCTTTCTCTGAAGGCTTGTCTATAGGGGGAAATTGATCGCATAGCTAGTGCAGAACAAGGGCATTTCTTCACTGCCTGCACGATTGACTGGCAACAGTCCATCCCGGAGATGCCATAAATTGACTGTCGAGCACTGTCCTTCAATTCTGGTACTCCGGTAAGACGAGAAGAGCAAGTGGAGCAAGTGGAGTCGACTTAACAGGTTAAGACACGTGGTGAGCAGACCTAAGTATATTGACTTTAGCTGTACTATTCATGGAGCTGAAGTTGCAGTAACTTAGGTTGATGGCCTGTGGTAGTATAGACAAACTACTGCACTGTAGCTGTTCTGGTATTGGGGTTGGTCTATTTTGTATTGATTACTCCACTCCTGTGGAGTAATTGCTCTGGAATCAAGTCACTTATATTCTGGAATAGAGTGGCCACACAGGAGAGTTGTACCAGAATAGCTACATCTCTGTAGTTATTTTGCTAAAAATATGCTGTTAGTTTCCTTCTGAAGACAAGCCCTTAGTTCAACAGGACTGAAAAGAGGAGGAGCTGTCCACTGGTAGAATATTTCTAATGTTGGCCACAAACAATCCTCTAGAAGTACAGGATCTCAAGTTTCAGGGGGTGCCGAGTTAGTCTGTGCAGGATAGATGTAGTTTATTTATTATATTTTAGTCTAAGGTTGGCCCTCGTGACAGGCATGACATGGATACACATGCTGATCAAATTCCTAGTTGAAATTCCTTCTATAGTACATTGTATAGTGGGAGTCTGCAGGGCATAGAAAATGATAGGATCTGATTTTGCTTGCATGTAAAACCAGAATAAATCAGGGTTGATTCCATTGGCATTAGTGACATTACACATCTAAAACTTGTTTAGTTTGATTCAGATCAGAATCTGGCCAAAAAGTCTTATCTACATTAACAATTACCCATTGTTGCTACCAGTGGGTCAGATCCATTGGTAATAGTCATGTTGGGAACCCTACAGTAGGGTCACTTTGCGTTTTTAATTAGTGGGTTCTCTCAGTCATTTGTTCTTCTGAGTAGGATCAGATAACATGGTACTTAAAATTGCCTTCGTGTTGGCAAAAAGCACAAAACAAAATAATCTCAAAGTTACTGTTAGAAAAATCTGTTTTTTAAAGTTAAACTCATCATCTTTTGGGTGTGCAGTAGGTATGTAAATATCCAATATAGTTAATCTGTTTTGATGTAACAACTGGTTAAGCATGTGGATGGGGTCCAACCATCCTGCTGCAGACGGGGGCTTCTTCATCCTGACCATCCGTGTATGGAGGGAGTTGCTCTGGCTGGTTGGGATCCTTCCCTGTCATGGATGTGTGGGCTGCTCAGGCCAGCTGGGTCCCGCTGGTTAAGGCTCATGCTTACCAGGTAACTGGTTAACCTTGAACATCCCTAGTTCACAGCTTGTGACTTTTTCTGGACATTTGGGGCTGTCAATAATTTATCAATTTTGTGCACTTCTAACTTCACTGACATAAATAAGTTGGATCACTCTTGAGTTAGTCCCTGATCATGCAAGATGAATATGAATAACTGTATGTAAGAAAAAACTTAAAAAAAAAAAAAAAGAATGGTCCTGCAGCACCTTAGAGACTAACCAAAAATGTAGATCGTATAAAGAGCTTTTGTAGGCACAACCCACTTCTTCAGATGAATGGAACATGGGGTCCAGAGGAGCAGAAAAAGAGGGGCTCGGGGGGGAAAGAGAAGGGAAAAAAATCTTGTCAATTACAGTGTCCAAGCTAAATGAGGGTTAATGGAGTGGGCTCTAAGTGCCCCATACTTAGCTTTTGATATCATTAGGGAGTTGAATGTAGGCAGCTCATCCAGTTCATGTCTTTGTTCAAACATTGAATAAAGGTGTCAAATTTGCAAATGAAGGCAAGTTCCGCAACTTCTCTCTCTGGATGGTTTTTTAAATTGCTTTGTAAAGTATAGTCAGTTTTAGATTCATTAATGAGTATCTGGGCAAGTTAAAATGTTCCCATTTTGAATAGTACCGACATTCTAATGGACAACATTTTTTTTCCTTCTCTTTCCTTCCCTATCCCCTCTTTTTCTGCTATTTATTTGTATCTCTGGATTTCTTGCTCCATTCATTTGAAGAAGTGAGTTGTGCACATGCAAGCTTATGATACTATCTACGTTTTTTGTTACTCTCTAAGGCGCTGCAGGACCATATGTTGTTTTTTGTTTTTCAGTTGCGTACTAACACAGCTATCCATCTGAGTTTTTTGTATGCACAAGATAATTCCCACTGAATAAATAGGACTACTTGCATGCAAAAGTGTAGGCAGGGCCATTGAGTCTTAAGATGACTTGCTTTCTTGGACTCCAACTTGGAATTTTTTCCCAAGTCTTCGACAACTGTAACAAAACATTATATATGTGGTGTTTTTTGTTTTAAGTCATCAAGCACCAGTGATGAGATATTAAAAGAAAAACGTGCTCAAATCATGTCTCGAGGACTTCCAAAACAAAAGCCAATAGAAGGAGTTAAGCAGGTACTAGCTTTTGCTTCTGGGAAAGGAGGAGTTGGAAAGTCAACAACAGCAGGTAAGTTTTTGTGTTCACTGTCATTCACTTCTATTATTGTGTTTATGTATTTCTGTTTTATAACATGAATAGGAGCTTGCCATTTTTATGTAAATATGTTAATAAAATTACACCAGCATTGAACAGCAAAATAAAAACATGCATATTAATGTCAATTAAAGATCTGAGGTACAACATTATTAGTAAAAATTAAAAGCATTTAAAATTGACTTTTTAATTCCTAGGTAATTGCCTTCAGTCTGAAACTGTGAACCCAGACTAGTCAGTTTTACTTCTGTTTGGTCTGAAAAAGCTTAAAAGGACACTGATTTGAATGTTTTTCGTCTACAGTTGTGCAAGTAACACCTAAGATTATTGTGACAGCATTGCAGAGGATGGAAGAGACAGTGTCTTTCTGTCTGTTTTCCACATTTGACAACACTTTCATGTAATAGCCTATGCAAATCCAGCTAAAAATCTCTCTTCCAGAATCCATATTCAGAAAGTAATATCTAACTGAATGCCTGTGGGGTTTTTTTAAACCATTTTTCTTAGTGTGGTCCTCTGATTCTGACTGTATGCAAGATTAGTATTCTAAATAAGATGGTCATAGCTATCCATTATATATAAAATACATTTTTTTGTTCCATTTTCTGGGTCGCCAGGCATGGAAGGGACTAGTTGTTAAATTAAAAACAAAAAACAAAGCTACAGACATGTTTAATTTCAAAGTGTCATAGATTGTAAACTGAAGTATGGATTGAGTGAATTTCCTTATTTTAGATTTTACCTTTCTACAGAGACATTATGAAGAATAATTGGTGTGTGTGTTTCTTTTATGGTGTGTCTGCTGCCTGGTGATTATAAGCCACTGTTCTTACGTTGTTGATAGTCTGATTTGTAAAGTTGAATTGCCAATAATAAAAACAACTTGCCCCTTTTTGTCCACAAATGAACAAGCTGAATTTAAGGGTCCTTATTGGTGTATGGATGAAGTTCATTAAATCATTATATTATTTTTAAATATTGGTAGAGATTCTAGTTCTTTGACCATATATATAGACTATACTCTTTAACTAGATAAAGTAATAAATATTGAAGAGGTATCTTAATTCTAAACTCAGTGTCCAAGGATTTGGTGTTTTGGAGCGATAGTCTCCTTTCAATGGGTATTGCATATGTGTACTGAGAAGGTAAAGCAGTCTTTGGGTTCTCATTTGTCAAAATGAAAATACATTGCAGTGTTAAGATGACTATCTATCTAAGGTCAGATAATTGGGCTGAATAAAAATTCTGCTTTGCATTGCTGCTGAAAACTGGGATTAATTTGCTTTTAAAGTTGTGTGATCTGTCTTTTTTGTTAGAGGAGACTTGGGGGAGATATTTCTACAGATGTTTGTGACTGCTTTGCAGACCTCAGGATCCCAAGACGAAGCCAGCATCTTTGAATTCTGTATCTCTGAACCTCAATTTTCCTATTTGTTCATTGCTTAAGTAGTCTTGCGTTCCGGTGTCAATCATCACATGTAATTTGTATAGTCTGGAAACAGCACTTCTTATGACTGAGAGGAGGTGCGATTTTGTTTGAAAAGGCTTTTCTTCCTTTTTTATCCTCTCTTGTAGTATTTTTTATACACCTATTGTGTGGTTTATTTTCATTTCTTCCTACCTCTCGTTTCATGCCTCTTTTCCGCATCCATTTCAGTTTCTGTTTATGCCAGAATTGCTTCCTGCAAAGATGTTAGCTCTGTCTTTTTAATTTGTCTAAAAATTTCCTTGCCTTACCAACTTGCCTTACTAAGAATCTGTTTTATTTGTTCTAATTTGCCAATAAGAGCAGAGTTCATTAGAGAATAGGAGTTGGGTTTTTGGTAGGGTTGTTAGTGGGTAATTGGTGGTAATGAGTGACCTGTAATGAGTGACGCTTACTGGTTAATGGTTAACCAGTACTCAGGGAACAGCCTCCAGCCCTGTGTAAGTCGGGAGCAGGCTGTGTGGGGCCTGAAGCAGCTGAGCTGGAATAGGCCCTGCCCAAGGGAAAGGGGACATTCCATCCTGTCAGCAGCTGGTGGGGAAGGCTGCTCCAGCCCAGCTGGGCTGGAGTGGCTCCCCTGCTAGCCCTTGTTTAATCAGTTAAGCTGTTAAACTTGGCATTTAACCAGTTAACTAATTAAATGGTATTTTACATCCCTAGTTTGTGGTCTTTTTTTGTATGATGTATCCCTTGTTTAATTCTTGTTTTTAACTTTGTTTAACCTTCCTGTTAGTTCTATCTTCTGTTTTTGCTGAAGAATTTCAAGATTTTGTCCCTTAGTTGAAGGTGTTCAACTGTTGAATCTTTCATAAAATATCGTCTTTCGAAGTAGTAGAGTTAAATAAATGCTGATGCAAACAAAAAACAGGAACTCTAAACAATCTGACTAAAAATCCTTCTCAACTTCAAATTTATCAAATTTCACAAGTTGCTTCCACATTAGCATTAGGTGGAAGGTGGTTTTCCCAGTTTGAAATATTGTGTTTGGTCTGCACTGGAGTTAACTTAAGACTGCGTGCGTGCGCGCCCTCACCCAGCAGAGAATAGCAAGTAGTCTGATTATTGGTCACCTAGAACCTGCCCCTCAATTTGGAACTACCCTGGGTCTTACCGGAGCCGCCACACGCTTTTCCCACCAGGCACTGGGGTGCATGAACAGAGCGGCTATTAATGTCCGAGCGCGTGCTCCGAACGTTCAGTGTGACAAGCATGTGCTGCTGCCCTCTCCCCGATCCTCTTTGCAGGGCAAAATGCCAGACATTTTTTGCCAAATTTCACTTGGGTTGACATACCCCTCCCTTCCCGGACTTCTCTCGCGTACCCCTAAGGGTACACATGCCACCATTTGAGAAACACTGACCTAGAACGTGAGAGACCTACAGGTTCAAGTCCCCGCTTTGTAGGGTTGCCTGTTGTCTGGTGTTGACCCTGACAGTCTGGTATTTTCGCCTCCTGTCCAGTAAAAAAATGCAGAAAATACCAGACACCTAAAATGTCCAGTATTTTCTGATATTTTTTCCTGGCCAGGAGGCGAAAATCCTGGGTGCTTACCAAGTTCCGCAGGGGAGCTGTCTGGCTTGGAGCAGGGAGACAAGATGGTGAATGGCTGTTGGCAGACTTTTAGGGCCAAAAAACCTCAAAAGCATTTCTTCAAGGGGCCATGCTGGGTTTTTTTTCATTTTTCTCTATTCCCCCCTCCCCTTTTTTCCTCAACAGAATTTTTTCCTCAGTGGTTTTTTTTTGGGGGGAGGGGGGTTGGTATTTTTGGTTAAACCATCTGGCAACCCTACCTCTTTGCCTGATTCAGCTCAGTAATTTTAAGTTAGGCCTCAACATCTTAGCTGAAAATCTAAGCACAAGACTGATGTGTCTATTTTTTTCTGGTTTTGGACAGAAATTCGAAATTGAACCTGAGAAACGTCTCTTGAGTAAATTTTGACAAAACTGGAATGTTTCTGCAAAAGGTTGTTTTTATGAATCTTCTTCTTTTCCTCTTCCCTTCTTTTCCAAGCAGGACTGCTATGGATGCTTCCAAGATAGACAAGATTGGAAATTTTAAATTATAAGCAAAAACTTGGTTTTGTTTTCTTAGAATATGTCAATGCTTAAGCCCCCACACCCTCCAATGAGTTGGACCTCCCTGGTTCAGCTCCCTTAGGACTTGAGCCGTCCCAGACAAGGGAATTTGCTGGACCAGGGAAGGTCAAGGCTTCCGTGCTGGCTGCCCTGCTGATGGCTCCTCTCCCTGGGGCTCCCACGGTTGAAGCTCCTCACCCTGCCGCTGCCCCACTACTGCTGGCCCGGCCAAGGCTTCCTGCCCTGCTGCCCACTGGCACTGCTGGGCATTCCCAGGGGTTACCCAGCCAGAGCCTCCTGGACACCACTGATACTTCTGTTGGTCCTTCAGGGTTTCCCAGCCCTGGGCTGCCTGGCTGCTGCCGTGGCCCAGCCGTGCTGTCACCGAGGGTTTCCAGGGGTTCTCTGGCCATGCCAGTGACTCTCCAGCTGCCTGACTGCACTGACGTTGAGATTCTTCAGCTGGATGGGGAGGCTCCCCAGTGCTGCTTGGCCCCACAGTTGCTTGGGTTCCCCTGCTGGGGCTGAGACTTCCTGGCTGCCGCCTAGCCCTTCTGCTGAGGTTCACCAGCTGGAGCCTCCAAGCTGCTGTGAGGCCCCCTCCTCCGCTCCTCCCCGCTGGGGATTTGTGGTCAGGGCTGCCAGGCCCCTGCCCCGCTGTTAGGGGCTCTTGAGCTGCCTGACATCAGTGACACCGGGGTTCCCTGCTGTGGGTGGGGCTCCCCAATGGCTTCTGGAGCCACTGACGTTCCCCTGCCTAGCTGCTGCTGGCCCAGTTGGGACGTTGCAAACCCCATGTTCTCTCGGTTGGCTCCTGCTCCTGGTACTCTGTGGTCCAGCAATATTCATGCTGGACCATGGATGTTGCTGGACCAGAATCCCGGATTTGGGAAATTCAACCTGTAATAAGGAAGCAAAAAGGGGTACAAGCCCATTTTTTTAAAATTCAGGTCATTGGTCACTAAATTAAAAAGGTTAGCGGAGAGTATTGTAAGGAAATCTGTATAAGATAATTTAATACTGATTTTTAAAATCAAACAGAAATCTCAATTTTTTTCTCTCTTCTTTTGGTAGAGCACATTTTGGGGAAAAAAGTTTTTATTTTGTTTTGCATTCCTTTAGGAAAAAATGGCTTGCCTTTATTGCATGCTAGTTGGCGCTGTGACTCCAGTTTTGCTTCTAATCTGATTCCATTCACCCACAAGTCCGTGATTTCAGTTAAATGGTACTTTAAGATCAAACTAGTTAGTCCTTTAATGGGTGTTTGAGGCTCAAGTCTTGCTAATGCTGGAGCTGATCATGCAGTGGGGATAAAGCATCTTGAGTTACAATAATTCATCAGATGCAAACCCAGTCACTGTGTGCTGGTGATCAAATCACTCCGTAGCTCCTGAGTTGTTGTACAATATGGTCATTCTATTCTCACTGGAGATAGTTGGTTAACTGCAATATACTAACTTGAGCTAACTGTTGCAGTGAAGACAAGCCTTAAGAACTAAAGTGTATATTAAGTATCTTTTCCCTTCTTGTGGAGGTTCATAATTATTGTAAAATATTTGGGAAATAACATTTTTCTTTGATTAACTTTATTTTCTTTGTTACAGTAAACATAGCCCTTGCATTAGCAGCACATGATTCGGTAAGTGAACACCTAGTTATCAAACTTAAAATACTTAGTTACTATGGGGGCAGCCAGTTAAGTGAAAACAAAATATTTACTCTGACAAAATTTGTATTTTTTTCATACATTTGTGTATATTATGTAGGCACAGTGAATGAGTTTACAAATCCTGATCCTTCATCTGGATGTTAGTGTTGTCCTCTGCTCCATCAGTGTCTCATTGACTTTGCTGTGATTCTGCAAGGGCACATAGGTCCATGTTAGTTGCCACTGGTGCAGGCTTTGGTCTACTATTTTATGTTACAGATTAGGAAAATTATGTGTAAGTGATAATACTCGAAACATCTGCCATGGTAACAGAGATTTATTCTTTTAAGAGAAAAATTAATATACAAAAATAATTGAAATGAAAGGAGGGGAAAAAAAGCAACTTAATGTCTCTTTGAAGCATGACAGTCAGATATTTGTGAAAATTAACACAAGATTATTATTGTAACTAGTTGTGCTATCACAAAGCTAAGACTGTCATTTCAGGTCAAAAAAGAGCAGCTAGAAACAGTGTGCTATTAAGAATAAGAGGGCTCCATTGTGTTCCTCAGCCATTGTAAATTGAGAGGAGTTCCGTTGAAGTAAGTCAATTCTAAATTAGGCCAGGTTTTTGGTTTCTTAGGCAAGTATCTTGTATGTCTTAGAGTCAAGGAAGATGTGTAAAATATTTTTTGTTTGGATAAGGTTAGCTGCCGTGTAGAGCAGATAGACATAGGTCTAGATTCAGAAAGAGACTTCTGCATGGAGATAGCTACAAAATCTTTGGGATTCACCAAAACTAAGTTAGGCATCTAGGCTTCTTATACTATTAGTGGGGAGAGGTTAGGTACCTCAGAACAAGATGCACAAATGCTAGGTGACTACCTGCCTAAGCCAGCCAATGTGGAGGGTTTGTCTTACTCCCCATCCCCTTGTAATTTGTTGTTTTATGTGCAAGGAAGACTCTTCCCTCCGTTTGGGATTCTCAGCTTCATACTTTCTTTTTGGGGTTAGGTGTATATGTTGATTTTTACAAGAAACTGGGGAGAAAATCAGCTTTTCTCATAATGTTTATTTAGCACAGTGGTTAGGATTCTAACCTGTGATGTGGGATACATCCCTATTCAAATTCTCTATCCACCTGAGATGGGATTTGAACAGGAAGTTATAATTTCTGAAAGGAGTGTCTTAGCCATTGGGCTAAGAGATAACATAATGTAGGGCTCTGCCTAGGAATGTTAAATTTAGATTAATTTACTAATTGAATAGTTGATGGGATTTCTGTGGACTATTCTAGTCTATATGGGTGCCTCTGCCTTAGAACTTCGCCCCAGTGGGGCTTTTGCTACAGTTGAAAAGTGGAAACCCTGCAGGCCCAGTGCTCCCTGCTGTGCCTCAGCCTTGAGATGTACAAGAGCCCCGGTCGGGCTCTTGAACATTTAACAAAGGAAGCCCTGCAGGGGCTCTTGTACATTTCAAAAGCAGAATTGCAGCAGAAGCGGCGCAAGCGGAAACTGCTTCAGTCGCCACTTGTGCTGTTTCTGCAGTGCCTCTACCTCTCCTGCCCCCTGCAGAGATGGAGCTGACACGGCTCCCCTAGCACTGGCTCCTGTTTCCTCCCCTTCGCCGCCCACCGCCCCGCCCGCTGCTTTTCTCTGATAGAGGCAGCTGAGGGGTGGGGGGAGGGAGCGACTAGTTGCATCACTAATCATCTCTGCTTATCGGATAGTTGACTAGTCTCTTACATCCCTATCTCTGTCAGTCACTCCTGTTAAAATTGTACCACTGTGGATAAATAATTTTTAAAGAAGTCATTGGAGCAAGGAACTAGATCCTGGATCTCTCATGAGAATGCTTTAGCTACAGAGCTAGAGTCAGCCTTATGTTTACTCTCTCTCTCACCCAAGGAGTTTTTCATTATTTTATTCACAGTGGAACAGTTTCAACAGGAGAGACTGAAGGAGCAGTACGTCAGAAAATACCATAGCCCAGTGGTGAGGGCATTCAGCTGAGGAGAGGTATTTATTCAAATCTCTTCCTCCTTGCAATATATTTAGGGACTTGAACTGGGGGTCTCACTCATAGACTTTAAGGTCAGAAGGGACCATTATGATCATCTAGTCTGACCCCCTGCACAGTGCAGGCCACAGAATCTCACCCACCCCTCCTAGAATAATCCTCTCACCTATAGCTCAGATATTGAAGCCTTCAAATACTTTGAAGACCCCAAGATGCAGAGAATCCTCCAGCTGTGATCTGTACCCCATGCCATCTGGATTCTATTCTGGGTTCTGCTACAGGTTTTTCTTTTGTGTGACTTGGATTAAGACAAGTATTCTATTCAGTGGGCTAAAACTTATGAAAGAGTTGGTAACCTTCCTTCCATTTCTTCTTCCCTTGCCATTTAGTGAAAGGTTTTTCCTTCCTCTCGACTGTTCTATTGTTACTGGGTTTCTGGTGTGATAATGGCTAGAGCCTCCAAATACACGGATAGCTGCAAATCGTTTTTACAGATGCAGACATGAATACTGATTTTGTACCTGTCAGGGCTCTAGTAATGGCAGCTTTCCCATATGGGTAGTGGGTGAATGTTGTACTTCTCTAATACATGTTGATATTTTTTTTTTTTTATTGATTCAGGAATTTCTAAAACTCTTCATACAATACAATATGTATTTGAATAATAAAGATGAAGACACGATCAGGGACACTGAAGAATTAGTATGCAAAGACTATCCCTCAGTATAGTTATGTATAGCAATTCGTACTTCAATCACTTCTTTACATAAATCTGTACAGAGTTAGATTAAGTCTCAGGAAAAATTTCCCAACTCTAAAAACAATAGGACAGTTAAACAGACTTGCTAAGGAGGCTGAAGAAGTTTCTTCATTGGAGGCTTTCAAAAGAAGGCTGGATAGCCATCTGTCTTGGATAGTTTAAACAACAAATCTTGCATTTTAGCAGGGCATTAGACTAGATGATCTTTGCCCTTTTTACCCTATGATTATATCTTTTAAATAATTCCCCTCCCCCACAGTAATCATGTTATTTGTAAGTACAGTGCATTGGCACTAAAATTCCACACACGTCCCCAAGCACCCAACCTGCCCTCATACCCTTGCCCCTCCAAGCACATCAACAAATATACTATTCTCTCACTTTCATTGGGCCATGCAAGCCAATAATGTGGGAACACAAAACATCCCTAACCTCTGTTGTCCCGATGCATCCAATTCCAGTTGTGGTAGTGCTCAGTGGAATGATTGAGAGGCCCCCTCACTGTTATAGGCCCATTCAGGGAAATGACTCACCACAGGTTTCACAAAAATTGTGAAGACAGCAATTCACAGTAATGTGGACCACATTGACACTAGCATTGAAATGGTTCTGTAAATGTTTCCCAGTAGGATTCGGTCTCTCAAAAGCACATTCAAAAACCATTCTGCACTTGCTGAATGTGTAATTAAACCATCTTTTGTCAGGGCCTCTGAAATCAGGATGTAGTTTCAGGAACCAAGGGAAAAGGAGGTATGAAAGTGTAACACCAAAAACCATAGTTTTTGGCAGATAGGATTGAGTGTGGAATCTCTGGTAAGGATGTCCGTGTTTAGTCAAGTACATGATTAACTGGTTAATCTTATCAACTACACACACTCCCCTCCACCACTGTGCCTCTGCCTTTTAAATGTATTAAGAGCCTAGTGGCTCTTAATACATTTAAAAGGCAGAGACGAAGCAGGGTTAGCTCCTGGGGCTGGAAACTTGCTCGAACTAACCTTGCTGCATCTCTGCAGTTTATCCCTTTACTGACTAATTGAGTAGTCGATGGAAATCCCTACTGTATAAATATGCTCTGTAGCATCCCATCCATGTCTAGGGTGACTCAGCTGTATTTGTCTTTTCTTTACCTTCTCATGAAGGCTGTTTATCATATGACCAAGCCTGGAGTCACATAATATACTCCTTCTAAGACTAGGTCATTAGCTTATAATAGCTGAAACAATCTCTTCCGGTCTCTCACTAGGTCACAGTTTCTCTTTAATCTGGTCTGGAGCTGTTTGAACTCTTGACTTCCTCCTCTCAGCCTCATACTGGACAAACACAGTTTCTGTGTCTCTCATCAGGCAAACAAAGCCTCTCCCATCCCACTCCCTTTACCTTAGTTCTGTCTTCAGCTGTCTACAGCTAAACAAACCTCAGCCTTCCTTGCTACTTGTCCAGCTCTTTTCTTAATAGCGCCAGGAGGTTTCCCAACACCCTTTTCCTGGGATTGCAATTTTTTCAGAGTTTCACACCTGTCCATAAAGGCTTACTAGCCTGTTTCTCTTAAGAGCTCCAACTTAATCAGCTTTTCACCTTTTCCTGGCTGTCTCCAGAAGCACTACCCTGTCCTTGACTGCTGGCCCTAGCTGATTTCTATGCGTTTTCAATTCTATTTACATTTTCCTCCTTGATCCCCTTGCCACAGCTGGGCTTAAAGTTGTTACAATTAGTTTTCCCTTCTTTTGAAGGCATTCAGTCCCTTACAAAGCCCAGGCATAGGCAGCTCTTGAGAATATTCTCTGGGTTAAGAAAGAGAGAGTCCTACCCTGCCCTTACCCCACAGTGGTGGCTTCTATTTTTTGGCTGAGATCAATCACCTCAACATTTTCCATTCTCCTGAGATTCTCCTCCCTCTTGCTGTTTGATTCATCTCAGTATCTGTTCCCTTCTCCCAGGATTCTTATTTCCTCCTACAAAAAGACAGATCAGGAGCCAATTTAGCCTGATAACACTGAGGAATCTAGTGTCACCTGCTGGGAATCCAATGTGCAGGTGCTTTCCTCCTACTATTCTGTGCCCCATTTTATCACCTTCCTAACCCTAGAGCCATATAAGGGGCTTTGCCTGTTGAGCTAGGCATGAGCTCAGGCAATGGGTTAGCTCGTAAAATAGATAGGGAGAGTCTGAGACCACTTCCTAGCCATCTACACCACCTGTGCGCCCAGAT